TAAATTACCACCCCGTTCACAACTACAGTATTCGAGAGTGAAGTAAATCTGAATTTAGTACAACAGAAAGTGGATTGGAGTGAAGAACTGTATGGCGTGAAATAAAAAACCGATCTTGTACACGACGCGAGAAGCAAGCGAGGTAATGTAGGTACAGCCTGAAAGAGAGGAGTTAAGTGAGCGACCCAATAAAAAGCATCAGTATGCGGGGCTGACAGTGATGGAACCAAAATGAAACTGTGGAGATAACGATTGATGTTCGTGACACATGGACGTACCGGATGTCTTAGAGGGACTAAACAGGATGCGGTTGTTGATACCCTTAGTGAATATATGTACCAGATTGGAGATCACGTGTTATCCTGTCAATGAAAGTATCGCAAGCGTCAAGATGCTTGGCATGCTGGCTTCCTGGAGAAATTCCTTTGATTGTGCTATAATATATTTGCTCCTATTCGGAATAGATGACACTCACCCATAGCTATTGATACACAAATATGATATTGAAAATTGCAGTATATATTTCCAAATCGTGAGTCATTTCGTCCTGGTTCGACCACTATCTGTTACTCCGGGAAGATTCTTTAGAAAGGATTTCCGCTGAGCACGCATTGTTAAAAAAGTTTTGTAGAACTAAGATAACTGAATCATCAGGATGGCTTATGGTGGAAGATACCAGAACTACACGGGTTTATACACCATGTAAAATTTTCTACAAACTGTCTTATAAATGTGATTTTTTCTTCCTTTCGATCCGTTTTTCCTCAGATCCCCAACGCTATCATGGGATTTGTTGTCGCCCTGGACATGACCGATCGTGCTCTGCAGAATCGATTGAAATCCCGTCAACTTCCGTGGACCCTAGCCAAATGCTTTGACACATCTTGTCCGGTTGGTCCGGTTTTGCCTGCCTCCTTGCTGCCACCAAATCTACTTCTCGAACGTCCTGATCCTAATGGTCCAACACTTGGATTGTGGTTACGTGTCAATGATCAGGAGCGGCAACGTGGATCCGTTGTCACCATGATTCACTCTCCCCTCCACCTCATTTCCTTTATTTCCCATTGTATGCGTCTGGAACCGGGCGATCTCATCCTGACCGGGACACCAGCTGGGGTGGGCCCAGTTCGTACAGGCGATGTGATTCGAATGGGCATTGACAAACTGTGTGATGTCGAATTTCCTGTGGCTTAGTTTTTACACTCATTCATGATTGCCTGACTGTTGTCAGTTTGTAGTTTCTCCCTCTCTCTCACACACAAGGAGTGCCGGGAAGGCAGCGATCAGCACTTTTTTCGCCCCCTGGTTTTCTACATGCGCCTTCGTTTCGCCCCATAGAAACGAGTACTGGTTGTGACCGTTAATAACATTTTTCTTCCACCGTTGCTCTAGTTGTGTGAAAATCTCCTCACCCTATTATTGCCTTCAGTGCTCATACTCTTCCTCTCTCTCACTGTCTTGTGCAGAGGGGAGAGGCGTCCGTTTCATTCTCGAGTTGTGTATTTCCCCTTAGCTTTTTGACTACTGTTCTCATTCAGATCATTATAGTGACTCCTTTTTACACAGCGTTGTTTGATGTGTTCGTCTAGTGATCGAGTAACTTATCTCGCGGTTACCAGTATTTCGGTTTGCAACAAAACAGCTCGAATAATCGATCCAACTAGTCTTGAATCAGTTCATTTGGCTCATTGAGAGAAAATAATTTCAGCAGTTGTGAAACACGCAAAGTTGGCTGGTGATTAAACCAGGAGGTACGTAAACGTCACTACTTGCCAGTTAGCCGCTTCCCTTGGATCCCAGAGACATATTGGTCACATCTTGGATACCGTCTGCAGGAGCCTGGAGCCATCTCGTCTTCAGAAATCATACGGCAGGATTTTCATATATTTTTGTCACACTGAATAGATGATATTCACTACTCACTGAGAAAGTCGGTTTGGCGATATGTGCAGTACAGGTCCGAAGCGGCCCCGTTAGTAGAGGTCAACCACATGTAGACAGCTCCCCTACCATCCGGCTCAATATCAGGCTGATGTTAGTGAGGCCTTATGTGTTGTGGGGTTTAGTTTTCCGGTTCCCTTGAATGAAAATTAGGTCTTCGCAACTATAATATTTACCCCTTCTGCTGTTCTTCACATAATATCATGTGATAAAAATAAAAAAATCTGCCACAGCCAGGTTTCAACATCTTCGTAGT